TAAGCTGAGGTAAGGTTAAAAACAGTTACTTATTTGTCAGAATGTCTGTATTTTAAGACAAATTAAGTGTGTCGTGCGCTCTTTTTTCCAACTTTAGTCAGCCTTCACGTTACAGAAGGCTAGCGCATGTCTATGTAATAGAATTTTCTGAGACAATGAATTTTGGTTTTTCATTTTTTTTTTTCCAGTAAGAGGTTTTTATTTAATAGAATTTTTGGACCAAAAAAATCGCAATATATCACCTTGCTTACAGTATCGCAATATATCGGGATATATCGTATCATGACCCGTCTGTCATGATATGTATRGTGTCGCCAAATTCTTGCCAATACACAGCCCTACTTCCCAGGCTCCCAGCTTTCTCTGCTTGGCCACAAAAATTATGGCATCATGTACTGACAAATGCAGGCAGATAATTTMTATGGTAATCAATCATCACAGTTGTGGCTTTCAAAAAAAACTCCTCCTTTTCAAATTTTCCATTTATGCCATTTGTTAAAAAGAAATTAGATTTTGTTTGACTTTTGAATGCTGCCTGGATAGAAACAATAAAACTATTTGTGTGAACTGTGACATGAAAATGAATCTCTTGGGTAAACAAATGGAAGATAACATCAGTCTAAACAAGATTTGAATAAACAAGCTCAAAGTGATGCTTTACTTACAAATGGTTTGTAGTATCGGGAACTGAAACRGACATAATACCAATCAACTTTTAGCCAATGCAGCACTGCTTTACTGTATTGATTTTTTTTAACTGTACTACTTTTTATAAACTAATGCCCTTGTCTCTAAGCAAAGAGGATTAAAGCTAATAAAGCAATGTTATCAAATGTTTCTGTTTGCTTTTCTTTGGTGTTATGCTTTGTACCGTACAACAATTCAGGTAAACTAAATCAAAATTGTCACCCAAGTTATTTACCACTGTAGTTTGCAATATTAGTAATGGTCTCTGGCGGTTTAGGTTGCTCACAAAACTAAATTGTGATTTTTAATTGTGATCTATTTACTAAATGTCATCAAAAACTAAACAAGCTTCTGCCCTCCAGTCATGGTTTTCAAAAATCTATTCCAGCTGCCCATTGATACCTTGCTGTGCTCGGATAAACCTCCTGCTCAGAGCTTGTGGCTCATCAGTGCTTTAAAAGCTTAGCTTTACTACATGAGTGACTTTGAAAGTGCTCATTATTAATTTAAGTGTAGTGTCCTTTTACAACATAAGGCCTTTGTATCAAGTCTGTAATTTGTTCACCCCTCGAAGACCACCTCATAATGTTCTGTACCAACCTAACGTTGCATTTTTTTTATCTCTTTAAATATTTGAAACCATTTTGCAGGTTCTACCAGATGCGTGCCAGTCTTAAGGTGCCCCCGCGGGTTCCACACAAAGTTGAGACCAGTCTTCTTCGTGCAGGAGGTAAAATATTTATTTAAAAAATAAACAATAACGATATTTTCTTTTCTCTTGCTACATATAATCCTCTTGACTAGAAGGTTCATTTCCCAGTAAATCTGTGAAAAATACATTCTATAGTTTCAAACAATTTGGGTACATTTTGTATAGGTAATTGATTAACCTCTAGTTTTTARATACAGTGCTGTTTCCTATACTCACTTAGCACCCATCATTAGTAATCAYTGGTTTTCATTTAGGCTCGGATCTGGCGTTCCCTGCTTCAGTCCAGGATGATGTCATCTGCAGCAAAACTTTTCAAATCTTGTATAAGAACGAAGAGGTTGTTGTTAATGACGTCCTTCTCTTCAAAGTGATGATGCTGCTGGATGAGAAGAAGGTACGTTTATGAAAGAAGGGTGCTGTCGTTAAATCTCTACAGAGGATGTTTTTTTTTCACTTCCACAAGGTGTGTAAAATAAATTCAAAAAGGTATAAAGGAAGGATTTACTTGTGGTGTAAATTTTTGTACAAAATTCATAGCATGAAACTCCAGATTATTTGTTTAGACAAGAGACTGAGGAATTACTTTTAAAACACAAAGCCAGTTAAATGTTATGATTATTGTTGCTTTTAATAAATTGCTGTGTGCAGGTAAGAATTTTATTGGATTTGTGTTGTTAAAGTAATGACAAAGTTCTTCAAACTTCATCGACCTAATTAGACACAATAAAAAGAAATGCCMTAGTTACTTTTAGTTACAAAATTCTCAGATCAGCACAGTGTATTTATTCCTTATATGGAAGTTCTTTTCTATATTCTCAGGTAGAAGAGTCCCTCAATGACATGGATTTTCAGCTCTTCTTGGATTTGTATTTCACAGATGGTGATTACACGTAGGTGTTGCAGTACTGAACCGTCACCATGTTTTAATGTAATAACTGTATCTCTTACGTAAATAACGGATCTGCTTGCATATATTTTATGTCTTCTACAGACCAGATGATGCAAGCACCCTGCAGAATATCAGTGGCCGCGTCCTTCGTTTGCACTTTAGCCTCGATCGAGGCATCCACCAACACATTAATGTTATGTTTGATTATTTCCACCTGTCTGTCATCTCTGTGGTTATCCATGCCTCCCTTGTGGCACTGCATCAGCCTCTCATCAGGTCAGACGAGCAGCAGTTTTTAAAATAAAATGGCACAGAAAGCATGCATTTTTGTATTTTCTAAGTTTGTTTTTATTTTGTTTAATATGTAGTTTCCCTCGACCTGTGAAAACCACATGGCTGAACCGAAATGCTCCCGCACAGAGCAAAGATTCAGTCATCCCACCCCTGGAGAGCGTTGTCTTTGGCAGCAGCTATGTAAAGCAGGTGTCACCAGATGTAAGTATGCTTCTTTTCTAAAATATATATATATATTTTTTTTTTCTTTTTTTATTTAAGGGATCTTATGAATGCATTATGTTCAAAGTTGTTACATTTATTGCATTTGAAGCTTGGTAAAACGTGTCACATGAACGAAACAACACAAGTGGAGGAAATAAATTCTACAGCTGTCACATTTACCCAGAGAAAGTCATTCAGCTTGAGCATCCCCCAAAGTGCTACAGTGTAACTTTTAACAGAGATGCAGAACAGTGGCAGTGATCTTCATCACCCCTTGATGTTACCACTAACATGAATGTGTTTTTATTTTTTTTATTTTTTGTCTATCAGGGCAGGGCGTTCCTGGTGTCCGACCCCTGTCTGCAGCATGCCTTCAGTCTGCACCACAACCTTTGCTCCAATCTTCTGATAGCCTATCAGGGCCTTTTTGGCTACTTTACCTCCGTTACTAAGGACCTGCCCTCCTCCCATCGTATGGAACTAGGTACAGTATGCTGCACTTCGGCTTCACTTTAACTTGCATCAGAGTTGCTTGGATTGTACAATATTCTATATTCTAAAACAGGGGCCTGCAACCTGCGTCTTTGGTCCCTCTGCAGTGGCTCTTTGAAAATTTGACCAAACATAACATTATTTTTTTTMMTTTTTTTATACTCACATTAAATCAATTTGTGTGCAAATATGTGATCAATACTTCTAATGCAAAAGGTAAAACATGCTAGTTCATGCTAGCCTGATGTTTACTTAAATAATCCAACTTCTTTCTWTGATCTTTCTCTCAAATCCATCAGAGTTACCTTTATAGAATTTGAAGACTACATAACAATAAGAATTGGGGAAAAATATGCCTCAATAATTCAGCTGTACTAGTTTTTATGAAATTCGGTGTAAACTATATACAGTATTTTTCTTGTTTACATGAATTTGGTCTTTTCATTTGTTCTGATGTGTAAAAGTAGTAATTAATAATAAAATTCCCAATACATCATTTAGTTTTATAATGTCACCTCCACTGGCCATCAAGGTTACRGAAAAGGCCTCAAAAAAGGCCCATGGACCACCAGTTGATAATCACAGTTGAAGCTTGTTTTGCACCTCTGGACACATTTTATTAGTGAGCCAAGCAGCAGAAACGGCTCTTTTGGTTATAAAGGTTGCAGACCCCTGCTCTAAAACAACCTAGACTTGACATTTTTAATTTTTGCATTTTTTTTAAACTCACAAACACTAAGAAGAAACAGGTACTCCAAATAGCAGACATTGTCCTCTTGTTTATTTTCGGCTTTAGACTTTTGTTGGTGRATGTGTTTGTTGCAAATATGTATAGCTGTTGTAACCTCATGTCATCTCACCTCCCTACACATTACCATATTATGTCATTTAAACAATCTTCACAAACAGCAGTTTGACTAAATGCTTTGGGGATCTTAGTTTAAWAATATCGCTAACCATGTTAACAAAATCATACCTGACCTCGACAGAGTATTGTGTTAACCCTTAGGCTAAAACCAAATATATTTAGCAAACACAACTAACTTTTCTTACCCAATGCAATCAACTCAAGTGGTTCGATGTTAACCTCTAAAGAACCAAATAACATAAAAGGTTAAATATGCCTATATGTGCAATCTTACTAGCCAAGCCCAGCATGCAGGTGCTATATGAGAGAGTTCTCAGAAGACCCTARCCCCGAGGTGAAAGACACGTCTACATAGGTATGTCGCAACCCTTACAGTACCGTCAATCAACCTGGCTTTCTCTAACTTTTCTTCTTCGCTCTAGTTTCCTTCATGAAACAAACTTCATATCTCTTTTTAGGACCCACTTTCCAGAGAAAACCTTTTAAAACTGTTTTCATCTTTTCTTTTAGTAGTGTGTGTGTGTGTGTGTGTGTGTAAAGTGCATTCATACTATCTTTACATCTTTACAAAAAGACTTTGGGCAAAAAAAAGTTTTCTAGACTCTCTGGTTCTAACTTTCTCTAGTTCTGTCTTTTAAAAATAAAACCTTCCTGCACCAGTTTCTGCTTCATACAGCTTTTTAATTCAGTTTTCATCGCAGTTTTATTTTCAGTGCCTGTTTGTATAATTGAATAATAACTTTTAGTTTTTCTCCCTTTTTAGAACAACTCGACTTAGAGGCCCGGCTAAATGAGCTGTGTGAACAAGTCAAGGTGAGACTTGTTGAATGCTTCTTTTTTTTATTTGTCTTTTGATTATTGTCTCTGTATGACCATGAACAGAGTTGACTGTTTTTGATTATGAAATTCTGCCATGTTGTCATAGATATGGTGGTGATATTGTGGTGCATAGTAAATGTAACTATTGTAATCAGTGAGAAACTTTTTTTTATTAAATTGTGTAATTCAAGGTGTGTCAATTTATGGTGGAGTGGTGCAAGTAGATGCCTGTAGCACATAATTTGTCAGCCAACTGGAAGGTATTTAGATGTTGCTTCACAGTTAAGGAGATGACATTGAAAACTGGTCTATGAAAGTATTTCATAATTATGTACTTCTGGGGTTATTAGCACTACATAATAAAAAAAATCCCCAAATTGTCTGTAACAAATTATTATTTTGATAATTGAGGCATTCAGAATGTTTTCTGTCACACTTTACTGACTAACACAAAGTTCTAAATGATTGTACATCATCCTCTTGTGTAGGAAATAACCTCACTTGAGTCCTCCACTGAGTTATGTTGTGTTTTTGTTCTTCAGCTAAAAGCAGAGTCTCCAGATGAGCTGGCAGAATTAGTTAACATGAACCTGGCTCAGCTCTGCTCTCTGCTCATGGCTCTTTGGGGACAGTTTGTTGAAGTCCTGTCCCTGCAGGAGCACATTGCTGGTGTACTATCTATGGAGCACCATACACTAAGAGTGAGTTCTACTTATTTAATCAGAATAAAGTTAAAGGGGTTTATATTTAATTAAAAATAATCTTACTTGATTCTTATGGCTGATCCTAAACTATAGTGAAACCTCCAGAGAACTTAAGTGTACTGACTTATTAAAAATAACTGGATCTGCACTGTGTGATGTTTTAATTAGTATTGTGTTTGTGATAGGCTTGCTTTATTAGTTTTTAAGAACATAAGAATTGGAGAGCAGGCTTGATGATTAGCAAGCAATGCATTCAATTTCATTGTGGTAAAATTTAGAATAGTTTGCCATTAAAAATTAAAGAAACTAAAAATTAATGCTTTTTGCATAACATTGATCTAAAATTATTAGATAAATGAATATGCATGTTTTCTTACAGGTTAGACGGTTTGCTGAATCTTTCTTTTGTCTTGAACATCCAAGACAATCTGCTCTGGCATATCAGGAGCTTCAGTAAGTTACTGACAATTTGGTGTTTATTGATGTTATCAGACTTGGACTGAAACCGGTTGTTCACATCTCAGTTATTGACTCCGTTGTTTCCTGGGTCTCTCCATCAGTGCTCACAGTCACCAACAGATGACTAATGCTATCAAAAGCTCCAGCTACTTCTTGTGTTTGCCTCCACTTCCAGTGGATTGTGCAGACCTCGATGGCGATGTTAGTTCTCTGCCAATTATCTTTGAGGATCGATACCTGGATTCTATCACTGAAGGTGTGGAACTTATTGCTGTTGTTACAGAATGCCCTCTTTTGCTTTACCAGAATAATTTTTAACTGTGTTCAACTTGATTTTTTTTCCATTAGATCGTGATGGACCTTGGTTAGGCATGCACAATTTGAAAACTGGTTCTGTTTCAAGTAAAACGGAGAAGCCCAATGCAAAGGACTTTAGTGCGGCTGCCAGCCCCATACCTGAGTCAAGTTGTGCACCCGTGGATAACACCTGGCCAGATAATTTTGAAGCGCCACCCAAGTCCAAAGGCAAATCCGTAAGAATAAAGAAAACCTCKAAGACTGAGAACTCCAAGAAGTTGATTAGACAGGGTTCCAAAGACTCTGTGGTTTTAGTGGGCTATAAGAATCTTAAAGCCCCCTATAGCGACACCAGCACAAAGTACAAGGAAGAGGAGCCTTCTCTTAGCCAAGCTGAGGAGAGTCATTCATTGCAACAGGACTCGAATTGTTTTTTACGGACTAATACTAGTTCTGCATCAGAATCTGGTGGAGCATCAATACATTTTGACAACCGTGCTAATGAGACTGCTGCAGATGACAATATAACCATGGTTGGCGGTCATAAAGCTCTTTTCAAACATGTTTCTACTTTGGACTCTCAAAGCAACCCTCAGGCAGGTACTGGGGCTGCTGCTACGAGTCAACAAGTTCAAAAAGATGAGCACGTTGACCTTACTGGCCAAAAGGTGTCACAGCTATCGACGGTAATAAAGCAAAGTGAAGAAAAAACAAGTAAAGATTCAACTCAAGGTGATAAGCTATCATATCCGACTGTTGGAACTCTCAGCAGTAATATTCCTGGAATCTCCCAGACAGATGCTTGTGACTCTCAGCAGTCTGCAGTGGATTCTGTTTTTGAAAAGCCAAGCAAAGAGGCAACACAGTGTAGCCAAGCTTGTGGGGTCTCAATAAAGGTAAAGAGCGAGTGTATCAGGATGCTAGATGTGGGAATCCCTAACGTCTCATCACGCCTCTCAGACTCCGGCATCGAAAGTGAGCCCAGCTCTTTTGCTACTCAGCTTGTTTTAGGATCGCGTGCAGGAACAGGAGTCCCTGAATTAAGCATGGCTGTTTCACAGTCTGAGAAGGCTCTGCAGAGTTCCACTCCACTGCCTGCTCAACAAAGCACACTGCAAAAACCTAGTGGCTTAGGAGAGATTCTATTCCCTGAAAACTCGAGTGCTGTCAGTGGAGTCCAGTCCTCGCTCACTTCCATCAACTCGCTGCCTTCAGATGATGAGGGCGAAGGATCCTCCAGGGCCTCCAGTGGACCTGAAGCCGGAGGCAAGAAGTCCAGCATCTTGGTCCAAGAGCAGAGTCTAGTGTTCTCTGGGGATGCCACTAAAAGAACTGACACAACCTGCTACGCTGAAGCAAGCGTAGATGATTCTCAGCTTAAAAAAATAATCAACATTCCGGAAACTGACTCTAAGCTTGCAGGAACTCCAGAAGTCGGAGGGGAGGAAGCAAGTGGATCTGGGACTTTAAAAGAATCCCAAAGTGAACCCCAAACAGCCTGTCCCTCCAGCAACTCCGCCACTAGTAGCACGGACCTGGTAAAACGAGGGATGGTAGAAAACTACTTTGGCTCATGCTCTAGCACAGATGTGTCTGAGATCAGTCCTGTAGAAACGTCTGCTATCACCCTGGGAATCCAGTCAGGGCTGCAGGTTGAGGAGGATGAGGATGAGCCGGAACACGAGATGATTGAAAATGGTTACTACGAGGAAGGTGACGGCTACGCTTTTCTAAACGGTGTTGCTGATGATGAGCAAACTGAGGCTGGAGCTGCTCAAGAGACAAGTCTTCTGTTTGAACAGCTCGGCGCTGGTTACCTCTATGAAACCAGGGATTTATCAAAAGCACCTGTGTGCTCCAATCTGTCCTCCAGCAGTGTCGGGCATAGATGTTCCTATTCCTCCACCTCTTTCTCTTCCAGCCTGCAATGGTATGAATGTGCACCCACATCACAATTGAAAGCGTGAGTCACTTTTAATTATCTTTTTAATGAGAAAATTGGTGCATAAATATGTATTTTTTGTTTTGTACCTTACAAATAATAGTTCTGAGGGTATTTCATTCTACATGTTCAGGTTCATCAAGGCCAAGGAAGAAATGAAGCAGTTAAAGCTTCCTGGTTTCTTATACAGCGAGGTTCCTGAGCTGGCATCCACTGTGCCCTACTTCAGCTTAGAGGAGGATGAAAGTTGTGAAGAAGGCATTCATCTCATTGTGTGTGTCCATGGCCTGGATGGTAGGACCAGTTTGCAGCAAAATCCTTAACAGTAAAGTTGATCATTTACAGTCAGTTTGCTTTTAATCGAAAACGTCTTTTTTTTCCATTGCTTCAGGAAACAGTGCAGACCTGAGGCTTGTGAAAACTTACCTTGAGCTCGGACTGCCTGGTGCTCGTATTGACTTCTTAATGTCTGAGAGGAATCAGGTCTGTGGGTTATAAACTCTGCTTTCATTTGAGTTGACGTGTATAAACCTGTGTTATCTGATGAAAGCCTTAAAGCCTGTTTTAATCTGATAAAATAACCGTCTAACTCACACTAAAACAGCCATTTTGTTCATCTGATACTCTCTTGATTCACAGAATGACACATTTGCTGACTTTGAGTCAATGACAGACCGACTGCTGGATGAAATTGTTCAGTACATTCAGATATACAATCTCACTGTGTCGAAGATAAGGTAATATGTTTTGTATGACTGTAACAGGATGTTAAGAATAGTTACAGCTTACAGCTTGTCATGTTTTTTTTCTCTCAGAGATAAATTAGTTATTCATTCAGCTGCTATGTAAGATTGGAACTTTTAAATTAGTTTGTATTTGCGCTTTAGAAAAAAATTATTTTGTATTGCTTTAGCATGCTGTATAAACTCGGACATTTCATTTTATTTTATTTTATTTTATTTTATGTAAGTGTCATGCACCTCCTGGTGACACACTATACATAAAAACACACATAACAGGATGGCTATGTTCATATCACAAGCCAAAATTTTTTCCTATCATAAATCCAACTCTAAATCTTTTCCTCAAATAACCAAAATTCATCTGCATTATGTGTATTTATACATTAAAATAAAGAAAACCTGAAATCAGAATACAAAGGACAGTAGAGAATAAAATGAWAGCCATCTTCCACTACATTGAGGTCACACAGAACACAAACTCTCCTCTTCAGGGAGACCGTTATACCTACCCACTTCCACTGCCAGGGCAGGCTACCAATTCTGATCTGGGCACAAAGGGACTATTGTTTTTTTCTAGATAAATGTAATTTTACATAAAGTTCAGTACAATACTCTTCCTTAAACTGAATGTACAGCGGGTAAAATAAGTATTGAACACGTCACCATTTTTCTCAGTAAATATATTACTAGAGGTGCTAATGAAATGAAATTTTCACCAGATGTCGGTAACAACCCAAGTGATCCATACATACAAAGAAATCAAACCATAAATGTCCAGAAATGAAGTTATTTGTAATAATGTGGAATGGCACAGGGAAAAAGTATTGAACACATGAAGAAAGAGAGGTGTAAAAAGGCATGGAAAGCCAAGACACCAGCTGAACTCTCTCAGTAATTAGAAAGCAAGCCTGCCCCTTGTCAGTGCAAGTTAATATCAGCTGGTTCAGTCCCAAATGATGGCCAGGTATCACACAAGAACCATCTGATGATGGGTAAAAGTAAAGAACTCTCTCAAGACCTTCACAACATTACTGTTGCAAAGCATAATGATGGCATCGGTTACAGAAGAATGTCTAAACTTCTGAAGGTTCCAGTGAGCTCTGTTGGGGCCATAATTCAGAAGTGGAAAGAACATCATTTCTCCATAAACCGACCATGACCAGGTGCTCCTCGCAAGATTTCTGACAGAGGAGTGAAAAGAATTATCAGAAGAGTTGTCCAAGAGCCAAGGACCACTTGTGGAGAGCTTCAGAAAGACCTGGAATTAGCAGGTACGATTGTTTCAAAGAAAACAATAAGTAATGCACTGAACCACCATGGCCTGTYTGCACGCTCACCACGCAAGACTCCACTGCTGAAGAAACAGCATGTTGAAGCTCCTTTAAAGTTTGCTGCACAACATTTAGACAAGCCTGTGTAATACTGGGAGAATATAGTCTGGTCAGATGAGACCAACATTGAACTGTTTGGATGCCAGAATACACATCATGTTTGGAGGTCAAATGGCACTGCACATCAGCTCAAAAACACCATACCAACAGTGAAGTTTGGAGGTGGGAACATCATGGTGTGGGGCTGTTTTTCAGCATATGGTACTGGCAAACTTCAAATGATTGAAGGAAGGATGAGTGGAAAAATGTACAGAGATATTCTTGATAAAAATCTGCTTCCATCTACCAGGATGATGAAGATGAAACGTGGCTGGACATTTCAGCAAGACAATGAGCCCAAACACAAAACCAAGGAAACTCTCAGTTGGTTTCAGAGAAAGAAACTAAAGCTGCTGGAATGGCCCAGCCAATCACCTGACCTGAATCCAACAGAAAATCTATGGAAAGAACTAAAGATCAGAGTTCATAGAAGAGGTCCACGAAATCTTCAAGATTTGAAGACTGTTTGTGTGGAAGAATGGGCCAAAATCACACCTGAGCAATGCATGCCACTAGTTTCTCCATACAGGAGGCGTCTTGAAGCTGTCATTGACAACAAAGGCTTTTGTACAAAGTATTAGATAAATTTCAGTAAGTGTGTTCAATACTTTTTCCCTGTGCCATTCCACATTATTACAAATAACTTCATTTCTGGACATTTATGGTTTGATTTCTTTGTATGTATGGATCACTTGGGTTGTTACCGACATCTGGTGAAAATTTCATGTCATTAGCACCTCTAGTAATATATTTACTGAGAAAAATGGTGACGTGTTCAATACTTATTTTACACGCTGTAACTTCTCAATTTTGTTTTTCTACAAATGTCCTGTTTCCATTGTTTTTTAAAGTCATTAAAAATATGTTTTTAAAAMAAATGAAATTGCACTGCAGGGCATATAATTAGAATGCTAAAGATAACACTGATGACTTCTTATTGAGATGTCTCTTCTTTCATATAATTAATTTACAGCTTTGTGGGTCATTCATTGGGGAACCTCATAGTGCGCTCAGTCCTAACCAGGCCTAGGTTTAAATGTTACCTAAGCAAGCTGCACACCTTCCTGTCCCTTTCTGGACCTCACCTGGGCACACTGTACAACAGCTCTGCTTTGGTCAACACAGGTAAAATAAAATTTACAAACCCTAGCTTCATTTCTCTTAGTCTGCAGACTTCTCTCTCTGTTGATGAGAACCAGTAATATGATTCCAACTTTTCAACTTTGCTCCATCTTCAGGACTTTGGTTCATGCAGAAGTGGAAAAAATCTGGGTCTCTCCTGCAGCTGACATGTCGTGATCACTCTGACCCCCGCCAAACTTTCCTGTACAAACTCAGCAAAAAATCTGGTTAGCCTTGCTAATTTTAAACAGTTTTTTTAGAATACAGTATGGAACAATAACCATCTCATCAATCTGTCTTATAAGGTCTGCAGTATTTTAAAAATGTGGTGCTGGTGGGGTCACTGCAGGATCGCTATGTTCCCTATCACTCTGCACGGATAGAGATGTGCAAAACGGCTTTGAAGGACAAACAAACAGGTGAGTTGAAGCTAAACGTTTGGGATTTTGATGATATAATTACCTGTCAGGAGTAAATATAGATGTCACTCAGACTTTACATTGTTCTGTCTGCAAGCAAACAGAAGATTAGTCTCTGAAACTTTGACACAAAGACAGTCTGCCTTTTTATTTTTATTTCATTTTCCTTTTTGATGTGTTCCCATGTAGATGATATTGTAATCTCTGAGTACAGGGAACAGGGCAACATCATTACAAATATTCAACAAAATACTTTCATGCAATGAGCACAGTTGTAGATAAAAACCAATGAATGAGCAAAGCAAAGTCCTGCAATTGAAAACACAACAAAATGTTTGCTGAACTTAGTGTCGTAAAAAACTAAAGTTTGATTCTCTTCATTAGACTTTCTCTTGAACACGGTAAACGTATTTGAGGATGTATTGGCAAGAACATTTTCCTTTGGGTGAACACAGAGATTTTAGAATGCAAACAATGAAAGAGTTTTATTATTGCATTATTTTAATTTTGCATATATACAATATTTACACATTTAAATCTGTTGCTTATTTGCTGCATTTTTGATGTCATGCACATCCATGTTTGTAAGACACTTGTCTATTTGTAACAACACTCTTTAAAGGTATTTAGGAAGTTTTTTTATTTGCCTTTTTCTACTTTATTACCAGGGCCCGTGTACGCTGAGATGATTGAGAACCTGCTGCTGCCAGTACTTCAGAACAAAGACTGTAATCTTGTGAGATATGACGTCATACACGCCCTACCCAACACAGCCAACTCCCTAATTGGCCGGGCTGCACATATTGCTGTCTTGGATTCTGAGATCTTCCTGGAGAAGTTCTTCCTCGTTGCAGGTCTCAAGTATTTTCAGTAGACCTGTGTCGGAATGAAACACTTGGACATGAGGAATGTGGCACGAATACCTCACTGCAATTAAAGGTTTTTCTCAATAGTTTTATTTTAAATCTTTTGTAAATATAACCTTATTATTTTCAAACACATTTAAACAAAATATTTTTTGTTTTATTGGAAAGCTGATGGATATGGACTTGACAGTTTTTATTT